AAAATTTACTAATAAAATATAATAATATAAATTTAACTAATAAAATATCTACTAATAAAATTGATTATATTACACTACTCCCTCCTTGAAAAATTTTGCTCCGCAAAATTATAAAAATTATAAAAATTATAAAAGAAATATTGTAGTGCAGATGCTGTAATCATGACCCGTTAGCAGAGTTTGCAGTTCATCAGTGGGTATTGAACCTACGGCTGCTGGCTACAGTCACAGATCATTACTACTCTACTACAATCGGTAATTATTAAAAAATTTTTGATTGTTCTACTTTTGATTATTAAAATTATTATATTAGGTTAATAATCATCGGAAGTATAAATTTGTATAATATAAGGAGTAATGATAATCTTTAACGAAAAATATTCCCACCAAAGAAATTCTAAAAGTAAAAGTAAAAATAATAGTAATAGCGATAATAATAATAATAATAATAATAAATAATAATAATAATAATAATTATTTAAAGAAATATGCCTCAACGATATTCCACTACATGCCGCCAACAAAGAAGTGGCCAAAATGCCTTCTTTGAAGCAATCGAAATACTTCAAGAAGAAAATGCGAGGTAATAATATTGTATAATAATAAGTATATTAATAATAAAGTAATAATAATAGAATAATAATAATAATTTTTAGGTTGTTGCGGGAAGTTAGAATGTTGAGACGGCAAGTAGGATCGTTAGGAGGAGAAGTTACTCGATTAGAAGGGGAGGTAGCAAATTTGCAGTTTCATATGGCGGAAAATCTTAGAGAAAATCAGCAAAGAAACAGAATATATGCTTGTTTGGTGTATAAGAGAAATTTGTTGAGAGCCAAAGTGGAGAATTTGTAGCAATTTATTGATAATATTCCCATTCCAAATTAAATTTTCTTTTCGTTTCTTTTTCTTTTTCTCTTCTCTCTTTTTTTTTTTTATAAATAAAATTTTAATTATTCAATTTTCTAAATTTAATTTTCAAAGTTTGATCCACATTTCTAATAATATTCTTTTGTTTCTCCAAATTTCTTTAAAAATAATAAGCAAGAAAGTGAATAGAGCTCCAGCCATCGCTCTAAACTGTCCTAGACACCATATTATACTAGGCCCATACGAAAAATAAAATTTTTTTTTTTTTTTTTTTTTTATATAATAACTATAATAGTGACTAATAAGTAATAATTAATAATAATATATAATTCATGATTTGATATGAGATTATTTAATATTGTTTGTTTGTGATATTATAATTTGTGGTACTGGAAGGCTATTTAAATCTCGGTCAAAATATAACTTTAATCGATCACCATGTACTGGGTCTTTGACCTTTTTGTGATCTAAGGTTTTTAGTTTATATGTTCCAAAAGGTAAGATATCGTAAATAATATAAGGTCCAATAAATCGTTCTTTTAATTTTGCAGAGAATATATTTTTCAGTTGGGATTTGTAAACTAAAACTTTATCACCAATTTTTAGTTTGTTGATTTTAACTTTGTTATCATATTTTTCTTTTTGAATATTTTGTGCTTCTTGAATATTTCATAAGGCTTCATCTTGTTATTTAAACAAGATATCCTCTATTTCAAATATTCTTTTTATTAAAGCATTTTGATATACATTATCATCATTATAATAGGTTTCTATTATAGTTTCTATAGGAAGTTTAGCTTCTCTTCCATATAGTAGAGAGAATGGTGAGAATTTTGTAGTTCTATGTTTCATTGTTCGATAAGCTAATAATACTGAAGGAAGTATTTCATCTCATTCTTTGTATTTATAGCTTACTATTTTTGTTAGGGCTTCACCAATCGTTCAGTTAAATCTCTCTATCATACCATTAGTTTGAGGTCGGTATGCTGATGATTTAAAATGTTTTATTTGAAATTTTGTACATAATTCCTTGATAACATCACTTAGAAAATTGGTTCCTCGATCAGATTGTATAATCATAGGAGCTCCATGTCGACAAATTATTTCTTCATAGATGAAATTGGCTACAGTAGTTGCTTTAATATTAGCAATTACTCTTGCTTCTGGCTATTTAGTAAGATAGTCCATAGCAACAATTATATATTTGTTGCCCTGTTTTGTTATTGGTAGTGGTCCTTTAATATCAATCCCAATTCTAAAGAAAGGTCCTTTTACTTCTATAGGTCTAAAATCTTGTCTCCTAATTTCATGTCCTCTGCGTTGGCATATGTCACATATTTGAATATAATTTTTAATATCTTCATACATGTTTGGCCAAAAATATCTTTCTTTTATCTTGTTATAAGTTGATCCAATACCAAGATGTACTCCTTGTTCATCATGTAATGAATATAGTATTGTATATTTTTGATAATGTTTAATTACTCTAAGATGGTTGTTTTTGTTTCGG